GGGCAGGGCCCAAAAACTTGGACTATGATCCACTGCTTTCCCAGGCACATCAGCAGGGAGCTAGATCAGAAGCAGAACAGCTGGAACGCAAACTGGCACTTTGACATGAGATCTCATCTTATTAACAAGGTGATCAGTCATCTTATCAGGTCCCTGGGGAATTCCAAATCGTCTGACGTGTGGTCCAATGAAGCCATCAAGTGAAGCCCATGGCTCTAACTCCCCAGCCACAGACTGCCCGGGGAGCTTAAACAATTTTCTAGGACATTTCACTCCTTCACTGCCCTATGGTAGCCCCCCCGGCAAGACATCCCACATCGTACCTGCTCCGTAATTTACTCAATGAATGCATGAACGCCAGTTAGAAAAAAAAACAGTCTCATAAGGAGGAAACAGGTACTTGGCATCATTCCTCCAAACAGGAGGAATTCAAGAGGTAGGTGATTAGATGGTGCCGTCTTAGGTAGAACACTTCAGGCTAATTCATGAAAAATACTTATGTAACCTAAAAATCCCAGCATTTCAAGGAGAAACACCGACTTATGTGAGCCACGCCTTTAGGAACGTGAGAACCAATCCGTCTCTGTTGGAGTTCTATCAGACTCTGGGAAACCCAAGCTGGAAGAAAAGGAGACTTCGATGTCCACAGATGACGGAAGCCAATAAACCTTCTCGTCCCTCCCTGTCAGCCTCCTTACAGGCTACGACCACCTGCAGACAAAATCTGGGAAGAGTGGGGGCGGGGGGGTCGAAGCCCACAGAACCCAGCTGCTCACAGCTGCACGCAGGGCAGACCTCTTCCTGGAGGCAGAATCACAAACGCCTACAGTGTTCCGGCCAGGCCCCCCTGGAGGAGGCTGATCTACGTCTGACACTGGGCTCCATGGCTCCCCTTGACAGATTCTCCTCGTTCCACCCTCACACTCTGGATGTTGAAAAACAGTCCATATCACCCAAGCCAGAACTTTTTTCATGGTGCCAGGAGAGGGTGAGGTCAGCCAAGACAGGACAAGTGGAGAAAATAGAAGAACTCGCTCAGGCTCAATTTTCTCATCACTAATACAGGGTTAAGAACACCAGTCACTACATATGGTTCTCTTGAAGAGTAAGAAAACCCACAGAAAACACTTAATAGAAGAATTGTATAACATGAGTTAGCTGTTATTATTGAAGTTATTATATGAAGAACATTACATGCCCTTTATTTCATTTTTACAAAAGAAGAACGTTGCTTCTATTCTTTGTGGACACATCTCTCTGGCATGCTTTATTATAATTTTAAGCACAAAATTTAGAAAGCAGCCTTAAGAATATCGTTCTACAGGGCTGACACTGTGGTGTAGTGGGTAAAGTCGCCTCCTGCAGTGCCAGCATCTTGTATAAGGTGCCAGTTTGAGTCCCAGCTGCTCCACTTCCGATCCAGCTCTCTGCGATGGCCTGGGAAAGCAGTGGAAGATGGCCCTGTGCTTGGGCCCCTGCACCCACAGAGACCCCAAAGAAGCTCCTGGCTTTGGATTGGCTCCGCTCCAGCCATTGCAGCCATTTGGGGAGTGAACCAGTGGATGGAAGACCTTTTTTTTTTCTCTCTCTCTGCCTCTCTCTAACTCTGCCTTTCAAATAAATAATTTTTTAAAAAATAATTCTTAAAAAAAAGCAGAAAAGACTGACACTTGAATTGACACTTGAATTTCTCCCACACTAAAGAGGCCCCACTCTGATATGATGGCTGGAAATATCAAAGCTTGTCACTGGGAAAGTAATTTGTATGACAGGTCTTTGGAAGTCCTTTTACCTGCACTAACAGCTTTTACATAACACTGCTATAATCCTTAAGAGATAATAAAATTTTTCAATGATTTATTTATTTGAAAGGCAGAATGTCAGAAGGAGAGAGAGAGGGAGAGGGAGAGGCAGAGAGAGAAAGAGATCTTCCACCTATTGGTTCACTCTTCAAATGGTGGCAACAGCCAGGTCTGAGCCAGACCAAAGCCAGGAACCAGGAATTCCATCCATCCGGGTCTCCCATACAGATGGCAGGGGCCCAAGCACTCAGACCATCTTCTGCTACTTTTGCAGGTGCAGCAGGTACTCCAACACAGGACGTCAGCATCGCAAGTGGTGGCCTAGCCTGCTGAGCCACGCCAGCCTCGAGGGTCTTTTTCAGACTACAGGAGGCTCAGGGCGTGCTCTTCTCTTCCTGGAGCACGCATGCGCATGGTATGAAGTCCACAGCCTCCTTTTTAAACTAAGAATTAAGAGTCTTTTGCTTCCTAACATAAGTGGTTAGCGTGAATCTATTCTAGACACAAAACAGAACCCTAGTCACAAGCTAGCAAGAAAGAGGGAGAGAATGCATCCCTAAATAACTATTCTATCTTCAGGTTACTCATTTTTTTCACAAGTCTGTATTAACTCTGCCTTCAGAAATTTCATATGCACATCCATTAATTGTACTTTATCAATATAATTAGGCTCATTCACTAACAAGAGTCTTCTCTGGAAGACATAACTCTGGCTAAGTGGTGGTTATAGACTAAGAGAATGAATGCAAAGTGGACGGAATCTTGCCTACGGAAAAGATGCTCACAAACTTGCCAAACCCCTGTTCTCCTTCACTAAATAACCAAAATATTGCCCACAAGAACCTTGCAAAATATCTTAGAAAATCTCATATTTAGATGGGATTCCTAAAGAACTTAAACACTTCTTGACTACCACTGCCCGTAACTGTGCACATCTCGGGCTCACACGGGTACCCCTTCTCAGGACTAACCCTATTCACCGCCCACCAGTCCATCACGTGAGCGTCCCTGACCTAGCCAGCTGCATGGTCTTGAGCTCTGATCGTGCGCACGGCCATTCCCAGCACAGCCTCACATCCAGAACCAACGGGAGAGAAAGGGAGCCGGGCGCTGCTTCCCCAAGCTCCCAGCCTGGCAGGAGGCGCAGTCTCCGCGGGGGAGGTCCCCTGAAGACCCCTCTGGCTCAGAAAGGTCAGCAGCGGTCAGCACGGTGCCGGGACACCGCATCCCGCAGCCCGAGGCCACCCAGACCGGCTCCCTGCTGGCGCACCCCTGGGAGGCAGCGCGGGCTCCAGGCTCCGGCCTGGCCCACACCTGGCCGTTGAGGGCATCTGGGGAGCGCGCCCGCGGAAGGGGGACCTGTCTGTCTCCCTCGCTCTCTCAAATACAGGAGTGACTGGATAAACACACACACACACGACAGAGAACTCGTGCAATCGTAGTTCTGCGTCTCCTGCGGGAGAACATCACCGGAAGGCTTGGTAACCGCCCCGGCGCGGGCCCACTGCCCGGTGCGGACCCGCGCGGCGGCTGGAAGCCGAGCCGAGGCCTAGGTCACGGCGGCACCTCCACAGCTAACGGACGCAGGGGCACCCAGTCCTCGCGGGCACGCGCACGAGCGCACGCAACGACCCCCGCGCCTGAGACCCGGCCAGAGCCCACGGAGCCTCCCTGCCCTCGCGCTCGCCGCCTGTTGGGGTCCGGGTCCCGCGCCGGCCCACGTCCGCAGAGGTCCCCCAGTTCCTCCCATTATTGTTGTCTTCTTCACTCAAGCCCTGGTTACCCCGTGGGGTTGGTCGGAGTCCGCAAAGCCCTTCCCCAGAGAACAAGCACTGCCTTAGCCTAAGTTCGCTGCCCGGCTATAGTAACGAAAAACTGGCAGTGGGATCCGGGGTCCTAGTTGTCCCCGGTGGCCTCTGGGAAATGTAGTCCAAGCTAAATTGGCCTGGCCTCAGTGGCCTTTGGGAAATGTAGTCCAGAGGCGTAAAACGGCCGCGCAAGGACTGCCCACCCGGCGCCCCGGGGACTGGGAGTGCGCAGGCGCAGGAGCGCCGGTAGCGCTGGCCGTGGAACCCGGAGCTGGGAGATAACGAAAAATCCTGTAATAGGTACTAAAATGTGTCCTGACGTTAACGTGAAAATATGGTAGCTATTCAAAATAACTTATATTATTCAATAAAATATTAATAGGCGTAAAGTAACCTGGTATTGCTAATAATAGATTAAACATGTGAGGGAAATGTAGCCGCCCTCTGATAAAACGATTTAATTTTTGTTAAATATTAAAATTATAGGCTAGGGGCCGACGCTGTGGCGTAGCGGGTTAACGCCCTAGCCTGAAGTGCCGGCATCCCATATGGACGCCGGTTCTAGTCCCGGCTGCTCCACTTCCAATCCAGCTCACTGCTAGGGAAAGCAGAGGAAGATGGCCCAAGTCCTTGGGCCCCTGCACCCACGTGGGAGACCTGGAAGAAGCTCCTGGCTCCTGGCTTCAGATCAGCGTGGCTCCGGCCATTGTGGCCAACTGGGGAGTGAACCAGCGGATGGAAGACCTTTCTCTCTCTCTCTCTCTCTCTCTCTGCCTCTCCTTTGCTCTCTGTATAATTCTGACTTTCAAGTAAATAAATAAATCTTTAAAAAATAAAAATACAATTATAGGCTATAGTGTTGTGTAGTCTTAAGATTTTTCTTGAGGGGCTGGCGCTGGCATCTCATATGGACACCTGTTTGAATCCTGGCTGCTCCACTTCTGATCCAGCTCTCTGCTATGGCCTGGGAAAGCAGTAGAAGATGGCCCAACTCCTTGGGCCCCTGCACCCATGTGGGAGACCCGGAAGAAGCTCCTGGCTCCTGGCTTTGGATCAGTTCAGCTCCAGCCATTGCGGCCATCTGGGGAGTGAACCAGCAGATGGAAGCCCTTTCTCTGTCTCTCCCTCTCTCTGTAACTCTACCTCTCAAATGAATAAATGAAAAATATTAAAAAAAAAGATTTTCTTTGAAAAAGAAAATAAATACAATCAGGCTAATTAAACAACTATTACCTAAATTTAAAGACATGTATCTTTCTGTCCTACCATGCATTACAGGATTTTTACTCTTCTTGATTACTTTTCCAGTAACATTTCTCTGAACTGCCTGGAGCTTTTACGGCGTAGTTCTTTTTGTTTATGTAGCAGTAAAGCCGAATTCAGGCAAATGTAAGATTCACTTTGCCTTCCAACCCAGCTTTTATTAAGCCCACATCACACTGTCTCCTGTTGTCAGCTCAATAACATTTGGGGACGGAATAGGATTCTGCTTGATGGTAGCAGCAGGCTTCGGCCTTGGAATTGATTCCCAGCTCTGCACGCGTGTCCATCCACTGTGTTCTGCAGGCTTTCCCAGGTACAGCGGCTGTGCACGTGTAGACTGCTCATCTCCCTCTGAACTCCGTTAACCTGGAAACTACAGGGAGAGGGCTTGCTGCCTGCTCCCTTCATGTTGATTTTGTAATTGGCCAGATAATATTTTGGCTGCTTCTGCAAAGGCATTTTTCGGATAAGATTAACGTTGAAATCAATGGTCTTTGAGTAAAGCACATAAGCCTTTATGATTTGGGGTGGACCATATCCAATCAGTTGAAGGATTTAATTGTCGCTCCCCCTCTTCGTGGAGGAGCGACACAGGACCCTGCGCTGTTCTTTCGTCTGCTCGGCCCTCCCCGGGTTTGCTGCTGGTTCTTCCCGGGTTGGCTACTATCCCTTCCACCTCCGTGGAAGGGCAGTTCCCCCTGGCCACATTCCCCACTTCCGCAGGGGAGCGGCACACCGCCGGCCGGCTTTCTTGGGGGCTGCACAGGTGTTCCTTCAGATAGATGTTCCCCATAGATGTTCCTGGTGCATGCCGTCTCTCTCCTCCTTTATAGTCCTCCTCCGCCAATCCCAACTCGGCTGCCCACACGCCGAGTACGCTGCTCTCCTCCAATCAGGAGCAAGTCCTACAGTTTATTAGTTGAACTGGAGGCAGCTGTGCGGAAGCTGTTTACTTCTCTCCCAGCGCCATATTGTGGGAGAGCAGATGCATAGAATAAGTCCTAATTCGAGTAACTTAGTCTAGTCCGGATTGCTCCCCACAGATCCCCCTTTCTTTTTATTTTTTGGCGTTGATACGCGCCTGTCTTCGGTGTCCCGCGGCACACACTCTGCTCTACTTGCTAGAGTTGCCACAGGCTCTTACAAGTCCTATCAATCAGGAAAACCGAATCCGGGTCCTCTCTTCGCCATGTTGTGAGGAGGTTTTTAGGCGCTGATGCGTGCCTGTGTTCGGTGCCCTGCAGCGCATGCTCTGCTCTGCCTGCAGGGGACTTACAAGACCTATCAGGCAAACCGAATCCAAGCCTTCTCATTGCCTTATTGTGGGGGAGACTTATTAGTGTTGGTTCGTGCCTATCTTCGGTGACCTGCAGCTCATACTCTGGTCGAGCTGCTTGCTGGCGCTTACCGCCTTAAATCAGGCAGACCGAATCCAAGCTTAATATTGTTGTATTGTGGGGAAGCCTTACTGATGTTAATTCGTGCCTGTCTTCGGTGACCTGCGGCGCATAAGCTGCTAGCCGCCCAGGTGCTCATCGCCTCACTAATCGGGCAGACCGAATCCAAGCTCTCACATTGCAGTGTTGTAGGGAGGCCTTTTTATTTCTCTATTTCTCTATCTCCGGGCATTCCTATTTCTCCCATTTTACTTCTATCTTCCAGCATTCCTATTTTTCTCACTTTACTTCTAAACTTCTGTTTCTCTTATCCCTGCGGCTTTCCGGCACCTCGCCCCGCCGGCGGGTTCCCGGCTCTGCGCCGCTTCAGCCCGCGCGCCTCTCTCATCTGCGCAGCTTCCCGGCTTTGCGCGGCTCGGCTTCGCGCGCTCCGCGGTCTCCACGCTTAACCCTTTCGCGTCTGAACCACGGCCTACGCCAGCCCCGTTCCCTATCTATTCACGCCCCGTGCTCTCTCTGCACGCGGCGGCTTCCGCGAGTAACACAGCGTAGCTTACGTGTCCGCCACTAGCATTCAATCTAAGTTCCCCGGGCTAGCCTGGCGAATTCAACCCAGCGTACGTCTCCGCCCCACGGTTTGGCTTCCCGTCCTTTGCTCCCCGGGCTAATCAGACAGATCCCAACCTGGCTCACGTTTCAGCTTCTGGTTTCAACTTTTCGCCCCCTATTCCCGGGCTAACTTGAGAACCCCAAAGTGGCTTCCGTTTCCGCCTCGGCCTGCCCCCCGCGGCTTCAATTTCCCTAACATTTTTCTCTACCCGGTATGTTTCCCCAAGCTTTCCTCCAACGATATTCCTCCCTCATTTCTCCTGGCCTCTCCCCACAGTCCGCGTCCGAGTCTGTTTGTTCTAGCTTTCACTTTCGCTTTCGCCCTTAGAAATTTCTCCCAGCTTCCCCCCGTAGTCCGTATCCGAGTCTATGCCTAGGCTTTCAATAGCTTCTTCCGGCACCCTTTTCGTCCGGCTTTTCCCTAGGCTGTTTGCTAGTCTCTCTCTCCGGTATTTTCCCAGTTCTTCCCGTTTCTTTCCTCCTAAGTTTCATATCCGTCCTAGGTTTCCTATCCGAGTCAGGTTTCCTATCCGAGCTAGGTTTCCTATCCGAGCTAGGTTTCCTATCCGAGTCACGGCACCATTATGTCGCTCCCCCTCTTCGTGGAGGAGCGACACAGGACCCTGCGCTGTTCTTTCGTCTGCTCGGCCCTCCCCGGGTTTGCTGCTGGTTCTTCCTGGGTTGGCTACTATCCCTTCCACCTCCGTGGAAGGGCAGTTCCCCCTGGCCACATTCCCCACTTCCGCAGGGGAGCGGCACACCGCCGGCCGGCTTTCTTGGGGGCTGCACAGGTGTTCCTTCAGATAGATGTTCCCCATAGATGTTCCTGGTGCATGCCGTCTCTCTCCTCCTTTATAGTCCTCCTCCGCCAATCCCAACTCGGCTGCCCACACGCCGAGTACGCTGCTCTCCTCCAATCAGGAGCAAGTCCTACAGTTTATTAGTTGAACTTGAGGCAGCTGTGCGGAAGCTGTTTACTTCTCTCCCAGCGCCATATTGTGGGAGAGCAGATGCATAGAATAAGTCCTAATTCGAGTAACTTAGTCTAGTCCGGATTGCTCCCCACATTTAATATAGACTTCTTCATGCAAGAAGGAATATTTAAAAAAAAAAGATTTACTTATTTGAAAGAGTTACAGAGAGGCAGAGAGAAAGAGAGAGAGAAAGAGAGAGAGAGAGAGAGATCTTCCATCCGCTTGTTCACTCCTCAAATGGCCACAACAACTGGAGCTAAACTGATCCGAAGCCAGGAGCCAGGAGCTTCTTCCACGTCTCCTGCATGGGTGCGGGGCCCAAGGACTTGGGCCATCTTCTGGAGTTTTCCCAGGCACATCAGTAGGGAGCTGGATCAGAAGTGGAGCAGCTAGGTCTAGAACTGGCACCCATATGGGATGCTGGCCCTGCAGGCTGCGGCTTAGCCCACTGCACCACAGTGCCGGCCCCGCCTTGTATTTTTAATATGCGTCCTTTTCTGTTTGAATGATGACACTACATTTTTTTTTATTATTGCATTTGAATGGATTTTAGTCTTTTTTCAGAGATCCAGCCACTGGAGGGAGGAGCCTGTTGTGTATAAGATACTGTGTTCATCTGAAGCTGAAGGTAAACTCACAGGTGCTGAGGGGAACGGGAATGTCCTCTGTGCTGTTACTCTCACCCGCGGAACTTCACAGACCTGCGTAATGCCAGCACCCAGGACATCTGGGGAACGTGTAAACATGACTCATGATCTCCCAGCTGACTTCCTGGTGCACCTCAGGTCCCTCCTGCGTTGGCTGTATCTTCAGTTTGGCACCGGTGATGGTTCCTGCACGGATCTGTCCTCACTGAATTGGAGAATAAATGACACCGTGACATAAAGTGACGCAGGGAGAGGCAGCTTCGGTCCTTTTCCTGTCGAGGAAAACATCTCTGCACAAACTAATAGAGATGAAGGCATCAGCAAGATTGGGTCACCTGGGCCGTGCTCCTTTATAGCACTTTGCAGAGAGTGACGGGGAAATTCTAAGGGGAAATGAAGATGCTCAGCCTGATCAGGCCACGGTAAGCAGCCGGGTCCCCATGTTGTTGTACCCGGATGTCCGGCAATGGTGGTGCCAATTATACTGCTCAGTGCTTGGCAGCTAGCATTCCCCTCTCTTCCCCGCCCCCTCCTGCCCTTCCTGCCTCCCTCCCACTTCTCTCTCTCTCTCCCTCTCTCTCCCTCCCTCCTCTCCTCTTTCACCTACACATTCTTCCCGTTTTCCACACTCTCCCACTCTGCTTCGTAAGGCAGGCATGAGCTGTCCTCAAAAAGAACCCTCAGTATCTTGGGAAGCCTCTGTCTTAGGTGAGGCTTCTAGATGGTCTCCAGATAAAGGGAGGCCCCTGTCCTCCCAAAAGGAGGTGGTGACCACATCTGTTAGCCCAGTATCATGGAGTGCAAATATTTTCTTTTCTTTTTTTAGAATTATTTATTTATTTGAAAGTCAGAGTTATATAGAGAAGGAGAGGCAGAGAGAGAGAGAGAGAGAGAGAGGTCTTCCATCCACTGGTTCACTCCCCAGTTGGCCACAATGGCCGGAGCTGTGGCGATCTGAAAGCAGGAGCCAGGATCTTCTTCCGGGTCTCCCACATGGGTGCAGGGGCCCAAGGACTTGGGCCATCTTCTACTGCTTTCCCAGGCCATAGCAGAGAGCTGGATCAGAAGTGGAGCAGCCAGGACTCGAACCAGCGGCCATATGGGATGCCAGCACAGCAGGTTGGCAGCTTTACCCGCTACGTCACAGCGCCAGCCCCTCAAGTATTTTCAAATGCATCCACTGAAATACATCCCAGATCTCAAGGTGCAACTCGTTCCGTATCAGGCGCTGACTTCAGTGTGACAGACCTGCCAGGGCCATGAATTGAATGCAGAATAGGAGTGCAGAAGCTCTACTGCATTATAACTGCACCTCGTCATTAGTTTTCAGCGAAGCCTGCTCTCTTGCTGCAGGGTGAGAATGCCTTAAACAAGGGAGCTTTCTGGCTTTGCTAGCATTCTCAGAGTTCATTTATTTTAAAGTCTGACCATTTGTTTTCTTTAGGTATTCTATGGAGGTTACAGAAAACTAACCAATTATACAGTCCTTAAAGTTGCCATTGCTCATGTATTTTTCAAGTTCAAGAGCCTTTGTTACCCCCATACATATGTAGCTCATCTCATTCACCACGGGCAAGAGTTCCAGTAACTGTGATCCTGCAGCATATTGGGGGAAATCAACCCTGGACTGCAGCCAGCAAGTGGGCCCTTGTCCTCTGATGGATTGATGAGTGATCTAATTCTATTTGTTTTTAAAATATTTATTTATTTGAAAGTCAGAGTTAGAGAAAGAGAGAGAGAGAGAATCTTCCATCTGCTGATTCACTCCCCAAATGGCCCAGTGGCCAAGGCTGGGTCTGGCTGAAGCCAGGAGCCTGGAACTCCATATGGGTCTCTAATGTGAGTGCTGGGGCCCAAGCACTTGGGCCATCTGTGGTATGGGAGACAGGGGTGGTGGGAGCACCAGTAAAGACCCCGTGCAAACTGGGGCTTGAACACAGGCTACCTCTGAGAGGCAGGAAATGCACCTGAATTTTTTCTCACTGAGGACGAGGAACACTATTTATCCACCCGATTCTGTGCTTAGTAACTGTGGTCACTTCAGGGATTCTGTTGCTCTGGCTGGGCACCACAGACTGGGTCATTTATGAGGAACAGAGGTTGGTCTGACTCCCAGGTCTGGAGGCTGGGCAGGCCCAGAGTGTGCACTGGCGACTGCTCACCAACTGACCTTTTCCCTGTGTCATGGTGGCAGGCATCATGCGGCGAGATGGAGCAAGTCAGAGAGAGAGTTTGCTGTTATTGCAAAGTCCCTCCCTGGAGAGCCCACGGCTCTCTCAGTCCCTGGCTCCCTCAGTCCACGAGCGAATTAAGACGTTCAAGAAGGCAGAATCTCATGGCCCATGCACCTCTCCATGACGCACCTGTCAGACACCATGAACACATGACTTAGGGGACTGTGTGTCCAATGCATGAAATCTGGAGGACACAGTCAAACTGTAGCAGCCAGAGAGAGTCCCCATCACTCTCACCGAGTCCGCCATGATCCCTCCTCTGGACCATGGCCTCAGCCTCCTGATGGCTCTCCTCGCTTCAGGGCTCGCCCCCAGCTACCCATCGCTCATCCCCGTCTCTCAGGAAGGGGCAGCTTTCTCCTGGCTTCCTTCAAAGCCTGCACAGCCTCTGCTCTGTTCTCTCTCTGAGCCCCCCTCCTCTCCTCGACTCCATTCCATCCCCGTTGGCTTCAAGGACCATTCCCTGAGGGCACCAAGCGGCCCTCCTCAGGCCTTTGCCGTGACTGGATTGCCCTTCCACTGACTAACTCTGTGGCTCACTCAACTGCCGCCTTCTAGACTTCACTTAAATCTCACCTTAGTGAGGCTTGCCCTGTCCATTCAGTGTGAAACCTGAAACCCATGCTTCTCCCCATCCCCAAACTCAATTCCCCATGAGTTGCTTTGTTCTCTACGGCACTGGTTACTGCTGATCTATGAAGTAATCTACTTTTTGATTACGTTCCTTGCTTGTGCTCTCCCCTCCAACTAGGATGTGGGCACGATTAAGGCAGGAAGTTTTCCTTTCTGTAATCGATGCTGCACTTAAAATTGTCCCAAGCACATCCTCGGTACTCAGTAAGTTGGCTAATGGATAAATGAGTGCCTGAGCAGTGTTCTGCATGTTATCTGGAGTTTCACTAGAAATTGAATTTACTGGGGCAGGCGCCGTGGCTCACTTGGTTAATCCTCCGCCTGCGGCACCGGCATCCCATGTGGGTCCTGGGTTCTAGTCTTGGTTGCTCCTCTTCCAGTCCAGCTCTCTGCTGTGGCCCAGGAAGGCAGTGGAGGATGGCCCAAGTGCTTGGCACCTTCCCCTGCATGGGAGACTGGGAGGAAGCACCTGGCTCCTGGCTTTGGATCGGCGTAGCGCCGGCCATAGCAGCCATTTTGGGGGTGAACCAACGGAAAAAGGAAGACCTTTCTCTCTGTCTCTCTCTCTCTCACTGTCTAACTCTATCTGTCAAATAAAAAAACAAAACTAAATTTACTGTATTTTGGCAAAGCCAGTCAAATCTGTTTATTTAGACCAAGTGGCCAGGATGGTTCTGGTCCTGTTTCAGTCACCTACTTCCGTTTTCTGTCAGCTTCTCGCCATCGCCTTTGTCAGCCCCTCTGTTCCAGCTCATGGTTTTGCCTTTGAGTCATTGCAGAACCATTTAAGCTGTCACTGGGTACGGGCACTGTGCAGAGCCTGCCAGGTTACCCAAAGGGAACGAGCTGGAAAAGCTCTTAGGGGGAGGTGCGAAGCCAGCCTACTGGGAAATGGGTGTGGCATATCCACAATGGTTTCATCAGAGTCAAAGCCAACCCTGACTTCGCAGTCTGAAGAGCGGCTGCCTACTCGAGTGAAGGTGACTGTGGAATCCGTGGCAGGTGGGCCAGAAAACAGGACACCGGGCGGAGTAGCTCTCCGTTGCTGTCCATCAGGACCCCAGGATTTCAGCCGAGGGGTGGATCCTGGCTCAAAGGGAGGTTTTAAAATTGGCTGGGGCGGAAGTCGCCCGCGACTTGGGGCAGATGCATTAGGGGCTGATGCGGCTGGGGCTGGAACCCCTGCTTTCTTCTTGTCACAAAACGGTGCGGTGGCCGGGATGCACCCGTCTTTGAACAGCCCACGACCTCCTGGTTCACTTTTAAAATCCGGCAGTACTAGGCTGAGCCCTAAGCAGCATGACCTTTTCGTGGGAAAAGCTGAATGGTTGGGGGCAAGTGACTTCACTTTCTGTCTCTTTTCTTCCACGATGAGTTTTCATTCTTTAATTTTTGTTTTTAATTTAGCCTAAGCTTCCTGGTTTTCCCTTATCTACAATAAGGGGCCTGGCCACAGCCCCTGACATTCCATCTGACACGTGCCTACCCTTTCAGGTGCTGGCATGAGGGGCTCATCGTCTTGCAGGCAGACGCAGAAGGACGAGGGAGGGGAAGAGTAGCTTCTCCGCAAACAACCACAGGACCAATATGGCCACCACCAATTACGCCTCGCTGTATCTAACAGACGTGGGATCTGTGCTTTATTCTGAGGACCGGCTGAGAGGAGGCCGCACGTGTTCCAGGTCAGAAGTTCCAGGCTCAGAGCAGACGCCTTCAGAGAGCTCATGCCTGAGGGTGAAGTAGAAGCCATCTTCCAAGGATTTTCTGGGATGGACGGGAGAGGTTTGGGGAAAGGTAGTGGGGTACCAAGAAGCCACTTGCATTCCTTATTGTTGAAAACAATAACGTACTAGTGTAGGCCCAAAGAGGATAAGGAGTTAAAGAATACGAAGGGGCTGGTGTTGTGGTGTAGCACATAAAGCTGCCTCCTGGGACGACGATGCCAGCATCCCACATGGACAACGGCAGAGTCCCCGTTACTCCACTTCCCGTCCAGCTCCCTGCTGATGTACTTGGGAAAAGCAACAGAAGATGGCCCAGGAGCTTGGGCCCCTGCCACCCATGTGGGAGACCTAGAAGAAGCTCTTGGCTCCTGGCCTCAGTATGGCCCAGCCTTAGGGCCATTGCAGCCATCTGGGGAATGAACCAGAGGATGGAAGCTCACGCATTCGCTCTGTCTCTCCCTTTCTTAGTGTAACTTCGACTTTCAAATGAGTAAATCTTTTAAAATATATTTTAAAAATTGGCTGGGGCTGCTGAGCATAAAACCAGGTGGAGTGGTGGAGACGTGGCCTTGGTAGGGGGTGTCTGCTCCGGCTGGCCTGGCCCTGGCGAATGGGGGAAGCTCACACGGGGTCACCGTGGAGACCTGAAGGTGGGTGCCTGTGAGTGGGGATTGGCTTCCATGTGGCTTACCAAATCACACTTGGCCGAGTCCACAGACTCTGTGCAGCAGAGTCTGGCTGCACTGGTGACAGTGACCGCAGAGGCCGTGCTGAGCTCGCTGGTGAAGACGGGAATTTGTGGCAGCGACTCAAGGAATCTGTAAGGAAAAGAGAGGGACTCCATATCCATAGGGGTGGAGGACTCAGTTCTGCGGGTGGTAGACTTGGAGAAAACGGAAACAGCTGCTTTCTCCTCTGGTCTTCGGTTGTCCATCAGAACACATCCGAGTTTTAATTTCTCCTGACAGTAAGATACTTTGAAGATCAGAGTAAAGACTTATAGCGAAAAGACCAGAATTGAAATGGGCTCTATTTCCACTTGAAAGTGGAATTCTTAAAAAAAAATACTGAACTTCAAGAAAGAAATGGCCAGAACAACAAAAAGAAAAAAAAATAAGGATTGAGTGTCTCATCCCATCATTTCAGGATCAGCATATGGCGTGGGGTTGGTACAAGGGCAGAGGAATTTTGTTAACAGAGCCCGCATCTGGCAGGAGTGGGTGGAGATTTTGTTTGACAGCACATCTGTAGTCTTCCTCCCTTCCTCTCCTCTGTCTTCAGTGGGGTTGGAGAACCAGGCCAATGGCCTTCAGGAACTTTTCCTTGGCTAAACTTTCTGAACCCATTGTGGCTGGATCCCAAAGTCCCTGCACCACTCTCCTAAAGAGGCAGGAGCCGGCTGGTGCCGCGGCTCACTAGGCTAATCCTCCGCCTGTGGCACCGGCACCCTGGGTTCTAGTACCAGTTGGGGCACTGGATTCTGTCCTGGTTGCTCCTCTTCCAGTCCAGTTCTCTGCTGTGGCCCAGGAGTGCAGTGGAGGATGGCTCAAGTGCTTGGGCCCTGCACCCCATGGGAGACCAGGAGAAGCACCTGGCTCCTGGCTTCGGATCAGCGCAGCGCGCCTGCCATAGCGGCCACTTTGGGGGTGAACCAACGGAAGGAAGACCTTTCTCTCTCTCTCTCTCACTATCTAACTCTGCCTGTCAAAAACAACAACAACAACAACAAGAGGCAGGAGCCCCCCAGCAGGGCCGGCTCCATGAGCTGGGGAAGGCACGACTTCTGACGCCTGAGCTCACAGGGGAAAACTTCGCCTTCTTACTCCCGGTGGCTCCCGGGTGGTTGGAAGGAATGCAGGTTTCCTGCAGAGGCCCAGGTCCCCAGAGCAAGGAAAAAGCATCGGGTCGCTTCCCCGGACGATGCTGATGGCACACTCCATTGCCTGCATGTGATGGGCGCTTCTACACTTGGGTCACTATTTGGCCGTCCTCCATCTTCGGCTGTCCCTTCCTCCTCCCCAGGGCTCGCTCAGTCTTCTTTGGGCCGGCATCTAGGTACTCTGGATGGAACGGAGCTCATGGGGGGAACTTCTTTCTCGCCGGGGTGGTGATGGAGGAGGGTCAGGTTGCACCCTGGATGACAGATCTTAGCTGTCCGGAATGGCCGAGCCTCTTGGAGTTCCCAGTGCCCAGTGCTGGCTCCATCTGAGAGTCCTGCCCAACACTGAGGAGCTTGGAGCCTCCTGGATCGCATAAGCTAAGCAGCGAGACAGAAACCCCGGTGGAAGACAGGCCAGGGAGCGGTGCAGCAGCTGCCGGGTGGGCATGGCCAGTCAGGGGGACCTGGAGCGCGGTGGCCCCGGGAGGCGGGTATGAAGCTCGCCGAGGCCGTTGCCCGCGGACAGCAGCTGCGTGCGCCGTGGGGTCCCTTGGCGCGGAGTCCGGAACCTCAGAGCGGTGTCCTGGCTGCCAACTCCGAGGCGAGGCACAGCGCTCAGCCCCAGGCGGGTGAGGGAAGGGTGCGTGAGCCAAGGGCGCGAAGACATCGCAACGGAGGCCCAAGGGCGAGGTCCAACGGCCCAACCCCTGCTGGCCTCGCGCGCTTCGCGCCTGCTCTCGCTTGGTGGCGGGCGTTTGGCACCGAGCGGGCCCCCGCCGTAGGTGGCGACCGACCAGGTCTGCAGGGGCTCGCCCAGCACCGGCCCCCGGGGGCAGGAGCGTCTATCACCTCTGCCTGTGAGTCCGCCAGCCCTTGTCACGAAGACCCTACCCGAAGGCAGAGAGGCGGGAGCAACCTTGATTCTCCCGGGAGAGGAGCTGGACTACGGGAAGGGGGTGGGGCAGGGGAGAGGGGCTGCTGACCACATCCCGGGCTGGCAGGCGGGTTCTCTTCACTGCTCGCTGCAAGTTTGCTTTTTAAAAAGGCGTGTGAGCCTTAGAACCCTTCCCCCCGGCCTGACAGCTGGTAGTGGCCCTAAAAGGACTTCTTGTCCCAGGCGCTCAGACTCCAGAGCTCCCGAATATAACCGTTTGAGCCACGGTGTCTCCCTGTGTCATGGACGCGTCGTGAATTGATGCTTTCTATGGTCTTCGGGATACTGTGCACCAGGCACCCCTGTAGTGGGCACAGGCACTGCCTGCTGGGAGGCCGTGTTTGGCTCGGCTGCTAAGCAGACCATGGGCCACAACTGGGTTGTCAGCCCAACCCACAGGCTGTTTCTCTTCAAGCTGACCCATACAGCCAACCACCTGTCACCTGTGTAACGACAGGAGATGGCACATCCGCGGGGTGCAGGATCCACCTGGCTTAAAACCCTGGTGTCACCAAGGGCACCGATGTCTCTGGTGACAATTTTTGTTGGCTGGATTTTAGTGTCCTGGCCCAAATTGATGTTTTGCCAATATTAGCTTCTTCCGCGCACCACATGGGGTGTATCTCACACATCTCCATACAGCTGGGTCTTTTACCTTTTCTCTCAGCAACGCTTTGCAGTAATAGCAAATTATGTAACCCATGAGCCATTTGGAACTTAGCCTGATTTTGTAAGGTCAATAAATGAAAAAGGAGATTAGTATGTTTAAAGGGTTGTAAAGAAAGTTTAAAAAAACCAACAGGAATCCAAAGAATATGTTGAGAGATCAGTGCAGTGTGACCTCCAAGGCCTGTGTTATTTATTATCCGGCCCTTAAGGGAGGAAGTTCGCTCTTGCTTTTATGATTTTCTGTGTGGAGTCTTGGTCAACTTTGTGCTAGTTTATCCTCTCATATTTTATGGGATTTGGAAATGTTCTTTAAGTGGTTTTAAATTTTATTGTTGAGTAGGTCATTGGTAATACACAGAAAGTACATATATATGTGTGTGTATGTATGAGGGCACTTCAAAATTTCACAGAAAAATTAAAATAAGTTGAATTTGGCACAAAAATTTTTTGAAATCCATATATGTTTTGTTCAGAATACACATTTTTTGTGAACTTTTCATCCTTTTAAAAAGTTATTTGTTTGAAAAGGAGACAAGGTGAGACAGACATCTTTTTTTTTCAAGATTTATCTTATTTTATTTATTTTGAATTTATTTTATTATATATTTATTTTATTTATTTTGAAAGACAGAGTTACAGGGAGAGGTAGAGACAGAGAGATTTTCCATCCACTGATTCACTCCCAAATGGCCACAATGGCCGGAGCTGTGCCAATCCGAAGCCAGGAGCCAGGAGCTTCTTCCAGGTCTCCCACATGGGTGCAGGGGCCCAAGGACTTGGACCATCTTCTACTGCTTTCCCAGGCCATAGCAGAGAGCTAGATCAGAAGAGAAACAGCTGGGACTAGAACCAGCACCCGTATGCAATGCCAGCACTTCAGGCCAGGGCTTTAACCCGCTGTGCCACTGCCTCAGCCCCTGACAGACATCCTCTCTCTGCTGGTTCACTCTCCAAATGCTCATGGCAGCCAGAGTTGGACCAGGCCAAGCCGGAAGCCCAGAATTCAATCAGGTTTCCCATGTGGGTGACAGGGACCCAAGTCCCTGCTGCCTCCCAAGATGTGCATCAACAGGAAGTTGGGCTCAAACGTGGAGCCAGGATGTGAAGCCAGGGACTCGGATGATGAACTTTTTGAAGCTCTCTCATGCATGGATATATTTTTAGTACTCGTGTATACAATACTTGTGTGCATGTGTGTGTACACACACATATATATATATCATAAATATATATGTAGATGTATTTACGCTGGTACCTTGCTAAATTCACCTTTTATTTCTGGTAGTTGTATTCTTTTCTTGGCATTAGGATTTTGGTGGTCACCTAGAATGAGTTAGGAAAAATTACCTTCTCCATGACCTCAAAGAGTATGCATCACACTGATGAAATGTCTGTCTTTTATATTTGATAGAACGCACCAGTAAGACCATTTGGATCTGCAGTTTTCTTCCTGGAAAGGTTTGTTTGTCCTTTGCTGTTCTTTTAATATTTTAGATCTGTATTTGTGCCCCATTTTTATTGTTAAATTTTTTGTTTTCCTTTTTATAGCTTTGTGGTATCGTTCCTATAACAATATCACTTCCACACTTAAAGAATACAATTTGGTGGTTTGTATCAGAGTCATGCATATATAAAACCATCACCAGGGCAAGATTTAGAGATTTCTATATTTAGAGATTTATATTTTTATTTATATATTTATATGAAATATTTAGGCTATATTTATATATTTATATTTTATATATTTTACTTTTATATTTAGAGATTTAATATTCCATTACCAGCTGCTCCTCTCCAATTCCCAAGCCCCAGGCAGTCCCAATCTACTTTCTGCCTCTATGACTTTGCTTATGTGGACAATTCACATGAATGGAATCATGTAACACTTAGCATAATGCTTTCAAAGTTCATCCATGTTTAGCATGCATGTTTTTATGACCAAATAATATTCCATTACTTGCATACACCACATTTGTTTATCCATTCATCAGCCGATGGGCAAGTGGGTTCTTTCCACTTTTTGGCCCTTCTGAATAACGCCACACTCAGGTGTGAGTTTTGATGTGGATAGACTTTCAGTTCTCTTGGGGATGTGCCTTGAGCCAATTGCTGGGTTGTATGGTAGCTTTGTATTTAAGAGTTTGAGGAACTAAAAGACTGCTTTCCTAAGTTGCTGCACCATTTCGCATTCCCACCAACAATGCTGAAGTTTCTAATTTCTGCATGTTCTCACCAACACTTGCTGTTATTTGGCTTTTAAAAAATATTTATTTATCTGAAAGGCAGAGTTACAGAGAGAGAAGGAAAGACAGAGCTGCTGTTGGTTCACTCCCCAGATGGCCACAACAACCAGGGATGGGCCAGGTTGACACCAAGAGCCAAGAGATTCATCTGGGTCTCCCATGGGGTGTCAGGGGCCGAGGACTAGGGTCACCATCTGCTGCCTTCCAAGGCGCATTAGCAGGGAGCTGGATTGGAGGTGGAGCAACTGGGACTCAAACTGGTACCCTTATGGAATGCCAGCATTGCAGGCAACAGTTTAACCCACTAAGCTACAATGTGGTCCCTATTTGGCTTTTGATTCTAGCCATCATAGTGAGGGTGAAATAGTATATCATTCTGGTTTTTATTTGAATTTCCCTGATGATTAATGCTGCCCAACATCTTTTCGTGTGCTAATTGGCCATTTGTATGTCTTTGGAGAAATACTGATTCAAATCTTTTGTCTATTTAAAAAGGGTTTGCTTATTTATTTGAAAGGCACAGTGACCAAGAGAGGGAGGCAGATCTTCCATCTACTGGTTCACTCTCCAAATGCCCACGACAGCCAGGGCTGGGCCAGGCCAAAGCCAGAAGAGAGGAACTCCATCAGGGTCTCCCATATGGGTATCAGGGGCCCAAACACTTGGTCCATCCTCTTCTGCTTTTCCCAGGCCATGAACAGGGAGCTGGATCAGAAGTGAAGAAGCCAGGACTTGAACTGGTGTCCATATGGGATGCCTGCATCACACCCACTGTGCCACAATGCCAGCCCCACCTTTCAATTTCTTTATGATAGCCTTTGAAGTTAGAAAGTTTTTCATTCTGATACAGTCTGTCTATTTTTTCTTTTATTTGTGCTTTGTTGTCATACCTGAGAATATTTTGCCCACTCCAAAGTCATGAAGGTTTACTCTTACATTTTCTTCTACGAGTTTTACAGTTTTAACTCTCACATTTAGATCATTGATCTACTTTGAATGAATTTTTATAAATGGTGCAAGATACTAGTCAAACTTCATTCTTTTTCCTGTGACTGTTAGTTGTCCCAGAACTATTTGTTGAAAAGATTTTTCCCCATTGAACAGTCTTAGCACTCTTACCAAAATCCAGGGCCATGTGTTTGGCATTGCTATTAAGATGCTGCTTGAGACTCTTAATAGCAAACTCGCATCCCATATGGAAGTGCCTGGGTTCAAATCCTTGCTCCACTCCTATTCCAGCTTCCTGCTTATGTGCACCCTGGGAGGCAGCAGGTGATGGCTCAAGTTCTTGGGGCCCTGGCACCCATGGGGGAGTCCTGGATTGATTTCTGGGCGCCCATTGTTGGCCTGGCCCAGCTCTGTCTGTTCTGAGCATTTGGGAAGTAAACCAGTGGGTAGGATCTCTCTATCTTTCCTGTGCTCTTTGTCTTCCCGTGGGGACTTGAATACAGCCTGGAGTCATGTGGTTTCAGCCTGAAGAATTACTGCTAGTGTTCCTCGTAAGGCAGGTCATCAACAACACATCTCGGGTTTTTTTTTGTTGTTGTTTAAACGTGGCAGGTCTTTAACTTAATTTATTTCAGAGGTGGGGAAAGAGAGAGGGAGGGAATGAGAAGGGGAAGGAGAGAGGGAGAGAGGGAGGGGGAGAGGGAGAGGGAGAGGGAGAGGGAGAGGGAGAGGGAGAGGGAGAGGGAGAAACACTTCTCTCACTGGTTCACTCTCCAGAAGTCCGCAATAGCAGAGGCTAGGCTGGGGCTGAAGCCGGGAGCCGGAAACTCAATCCAGGTCTTCCCAGTGGGTGGCAGCGATCCAAGTACTTGAGCCATCACTACTGATGTGCAGGATCTGCATTTGCAGGAACCTGGAGTCTGGAGCTGAAACTGGGAATCAAATTCAAGTGCTCAGACGTGGAACATGGGCACAGGCTAAATCCCACTGCCAAGCTAAATGCCCACTGCTGCCTTTATTGCTGAAATAAAGCTTTACTGCATTATAGATGTAGCATAAGGTATATACAGTTAGGACTACTGCTTGGTTGATGGGTTCTTTCGTGCTTTGAGCATTTTGAATACATTATCCTAACCGTTTTGTGACCTGCATTGTGTCTGTTGAGATGTCAGCTGTAGATCTTAGAGCAGTTTTCCTGGTAAATGCATCATTCTTCTCTTACTTTCCAAATGTGCTCATGTCTTTGATTTTCAGCTTTTTTTTTTTTTAAACTATGATGCCTCTGTGGATCCCTTTGAACTTAATCCTGCATGGATTTCATTGAGCTTTCTGTATGTATTGGTTTTCAACATATTTGGAAAGATTTTTTTTAAGATTTATTTATTTATTTATTTATTTGAAAGGCAGATTTACAGAGAGGCAGAGAGGTCTTCCATCCGCTGGTTCACTCCCCAAATGGCTGCAATGGGCAGAGCTGCGCTGATCCAAAGCCAGGAGACAGGAGCTTCCTCCGGGTACCCCACAAAGGTGCAAGGACCTGGGCCATATTCCACTGCTTTCCCAGGCCATAGCAGAGAACTGGATTGGAAGTGGAGCAGCTGGGACTAGAACTGGTACCCATATGGGATACTGGCACCCCAGGCAGTGGCCTCACCTGCTATACCACAGCGCCAGCTTGGAAAGTTTTTAGCCTTTATAATTTTTTTTAAATTCTTGTTCTTTTATCTCTCCTTTCTCAGTACTATCATTACATGTGTATGCCTGGGGCTTGGGACCCAGTACAAGCAGATCCAGATTCCAACAGGGCAGAGAAGAACTCGGAGCCATTTGTCCATTTGTATCTCCTTTACTCACAGTGGTGGTGAGAAAATCACAAGGGACAGCCACTTGCCCCCAACTGCGGTGAGCCCACAGGAGATAGCCACCTTTGTGTCCAGACACACACACAGACACCGACACACAGCCGCACAGCCACATCTAGCCATGCCGCCCAGCTGCTTATGTGGGTTTATAGACAGTAGTGGCCCAGAGCCAAACCATTACATAACAGATGGTGGGCAGCCTGCCAGGCGGATGGACCTGCCGGTTACCATGACACCAGTTACCATAGAGATACGGAGACAAAAGGCAGGGAACGTGATAACTTCACCTTCTCAAGTTCATCTCCTCGACAGTGTGTATGGTCTCTCACATGTTTCCAAGGCTCTGTTTATCTCCCTCATAAACTTCACTGTTTGTTCTTTGGCATTCATAATCTCAATTGATCTATCCTCAAATTTGCTTGTTCCTTCTCCCAGTTCAAGTCTACTATTGAGAACGTGTAGTCAATTTTTTATTTCATTAAGTGTGCTTTTCAACTCCAGAATTTCATTTTGTCCTTTTTGAAGTTTCTGTCTCTGCTGATAATTTCTATTTGATGCAACACTGCCAATACCTGTTCCCTTACATTTTAACCATGGTGACTTTTAGCTCTGTGAACATACTAGTAATTGCTACTTTGAAGTATTGTTTCCCCTGATGAATCGGACTTACAGTCACTGTCACAGGCAGTATCTTTTGTTCCTCTTCTTTTCCCAGTGTGTGACTCATATCTCCCGTGTTTCTTTGCATGCCTTGTATTTTCACAAATATTTATGTTGGAAAACTGAACATACCAGTTGACACTGAAGAGCCAAAATGACTCCATTTTAAAACAAAACAAAACAAAAAAGCAGCCTCCATTTCCCATAGCAGACCTGGGTCCTTGTAAAAGCAGGCATTCAGGCATTCCGGAGATAGCAAAGCTTACCAGGGACAGCCAGCTCTGAAGACCAAGGACAGCACAGCAGAGATTACTAAACAAAGTAACTCCCTGCGCCCAGAGCTTCCCTGCTGTAAGCCCCCCGTAACTCAACTCCCTGCACCCAGAGCTTCTGTGCTGTATGTAACTTTTTTCCTGCTGATGTAGCCATTTTTCTCTCCCAAAGACGGGGCCTCACTCCTGCCTCCGCTGGGCTGGCTGGTTGGATGGGGTCCCTGTCGCAGCTTGTACTCCCGAATAAACCTTGCTTTTGCAGTTCGGTGTGATCGACTGCAGGTATTTGATCCCTCCCATTCCTGAGAGGCTTGTTATTGTTATTGTTATTGTTATTATCTGCTCTGTGACAGACTGGATTGTTTAGCTAAATCTGTTTTCTTTCCATTACCGTGAAGGCTCTGCTGTTCCTGCTCCGGGAGACAGGGCTCTGGGTGCTCCACAGTCACCCTGTGTGGGACGGTGGTGGTTTGGTGGCGCTCTCTTCTCTTTCCCTAACACATTCAGCCGTTTAACTCCAAAGCCATCTATTTCTGTGGGATTAGGTGTAAAAATGGCTACAGTTTACATCAGTCAGTGAGTAGGGGGAACACAGAACAAAATACCAGAGTGGAGGGCTTAACTAACAGAAAGTTGTTTTCTCACAGCTTTGGAGACTCGAAACTCAATATCAAGTTGCGGGCAGGGTTGATTTCCCGTGAGCTCTCTCCTTGGATTGGGAGTGGCTGCCTTCTCGCCATATCCGCATACGGAGGTCATACGAGGTCATATTGCTGTCCGTGTCCCCAGGCTTCCGTCTGGAACCCTAAGGTAGGTGGAATCGTTTTGATCCACTGGAAGCTCTCCCCTTAATTCTCTCCTCCCCCCCGCCCTTCACTCTGACTGCAGCTGGGGTCCCCATCTCATGACCTTTCTCTTTTTAACTTTTTAAAAAATCTTTTGAAGAATTTCTTTTACACCTATCATCACACAGCATGTTTTAAACGCAGATCTATAACTCTCTAATAAGGTAAAGACAAAGTCTGCCTTATTAGAAACAAGACACTGCACCACGTAAGCCTTCAAACGTTATTGTACTTTAAGTCCAGGCTGCACAGCAAGAGCCAGCCGCAGTGCCGCGGCAGGGAGGGGCCCCGTGGGCCGGTGCAAGGCCATGATTCGCGAAGCCTACAGATGTCAGCCCACCCACCTCTGAGTTGTGGGCTGGGCTGGTGATCCACTGGGTGTCAGGATTGCTTCTGGTAGCCAGTGGAAGGGATGAATAAAGATAATCTCTTGTATGTGGAACCTTCCCCAACCCAGTAAGAATTTCAGGGCTCTCAGTCTCTTACAGTGGCACAAATCCTGCATCTGGCCTAGCCTGGCCTGGCTTGGTGTCTCAGTCCACGTGCATGGTCAGGCCGAGTGGGGCAGGGAGCTCTGTGGAGTCGACCCTTGTTACTGTGGATTCGTTGAGAGGAGGAGTGCGATGGGGGCAAAAGGTGTGGAGTCACCACACAGACCCCGGGAGTCACCTGAAAGCGCGCCAGAGGCGAGCTGCCTGCAGTTGGTACAGCAGCTTAAATAGCCAAGGCAGCCAATCCGGTCAAGGGGCGGTCTTTGCCCTAACCAATCACAGCCCGTTGCCAGGCAGGCTCCGTTGCCAGGTGGTTTCCAAAGCCATCCAATCACAGCCCGTTGCCAGGCAGGCTCCGTTGCCAGGTGGTTTCCACAGCCATCCAATCACAGCCCGTTGCCAGGCAGGCTCCATTGCTGGGTGGTTTCCCAGGGGGTGTCGGAAGCCATTCCTAGTAACTGACGCTCTCTTGCCAGCGGCCATCTTGGCATGGCCTTCTCATTCCGCCACAGACCCTCAGAGATAAGGGCCTTGTATCCAACTGCTGCTTTCTCGTAGCTCCTGGATGTACTTGTGTGCGACCCCCCTCCCGCCCCCGGCTCAGCGCCTGCTGCTGGCAGAGGGAAAGCCCGGGACCCCTCTGGCCGTCCCCAGGGAAGCCGCTGGACCTGCCTGCGGTGCTGACGCAGCTGCGGGAGCCCCGTTTCCCACACTCTGGCAGACATGGTGCGTGTCGGACGGCTCGCTTTTGCCTTTTTGATTGGTAAGCAAAAAACAAAAACAAAAACAAAAAACTCTCAATATAAATGCTTAATTGATTTGAATGAATTGGATTCTCCATTAACCTTCGTTCGTGACAAACTCTCATGACTGTGTTTTTGACTCATTGATTATTTATTTATAATTTATCTACTCGTTGATAATTCATAATAATTAATAATAATTATCCACGAACCCACCACCCAATACAAATATCTGACCCTGACCTTTGTTTAGAAGCCTTTTAATTTTGTTCTCTATAAACTTTATTTGAGAAACATTTCCCCAGATTCCTTTTTTTTTTTTTTTTAAGATTTATTTGAGGCCGGCGCCGCGGCTCAATAGGCTAATCCTCCGCCTAGCGGCGCCGGCACACCGGGTTCTAGTCCCGGTCGGGGCGCCGGATTCTGTCCCGGTTGCCCCTCTTCCAGGCCAGCTCTCTGCTGTGGCCAGGGAGTGCAGTGGAGGATGGCCCAAGTGCTTGGGTCCTGCACCCCATGGGAGACCAGGATAAGTACCTGGCTCCTGCCATCGGATCAGTGCGGTGCAGCGGCCATTGGAGTGTGAACCAACGGCAAAGGAAGACCTTTCTCACTGTCTCTCTCTCACTGTCCACTCTGCCTGTCAAAAAAAAAAAAAAAGAGAGAGAGAGAGAGAGATTTATTTATTTGAAAGGCAGAGTTACAGATAGAGAGTGAGATCTTCCTTCTGCTGGTTCACTCCCCAAATGACATAAATGGCTGGAGCTGGACCAGGCCAAAGCCAGGAGCCAGGAGCTTCTTTCCAGGTCTCCCATGCAGCTGCAGGAGGCCATCCCTCACTGCTTTCTCAGGTGCATTAGCAGGAAGCTGGATCAGAAGTGGAGTAGCAGGGATTTGAACCAGTACCTATATTGGATGCAGCTGGCAGCTTTACCTGCTATGACACAGCGTGGGCCCCTCATTTTTCTTGTTGTTGTTTTTTTTTTTATTTAAATTTACTTATTTGGAAGGCAGGATTACAGAGAAAGAGAGAAAAAGAGAAAGAAGTAGCCCTTCTTTATTTGTGTTACCCAGCTTTTGAGAGGATATCCAACTAATGATTGACAAGGCCAAAGTCAAGGAGATTCCCCCCCTGAGTTTTCTTCTAGCAGTTTTGTAGTTTCAGGCCACATATTTAGGTCTTTAATCCATTTTTGAGCCAATTTTGGGGTGTAGATAACATACAGGTCTAAATCAACCCTTTTGCACATAGATATCCAGTTTGGCAAAGCCATTTATTGAAGAGACGCTCTTTTCCCTGTTGTACCATCTTGATTGGGCTTTTCAAAAATTTACTGCCGGTATATACTTGGTTTATTTCTGGGGTCCCTGTTCTGTTCTGTTGGTCTGTATGAGTCCATTTTCATGCCAGAACCAATACTTTTGACTGCCACAGCTTTGTAACATAACTTGAAATTAGGAAGTGTGGTGTCTCCAGGCTTGTTTTTTCTTTCTCATGGTTGTTTAGCTATTAGAGGTCTTTTGTGGTTCTGTATGAATTTCAGAATCTTTCTCTATTTCTGTGAAAAATACCATTGCAATTTGATAGTGATTTCATTGAATGTGTATATCACTGTGGGTAGTATGAACATTTTAGCAATATTAATTCTTCCAGACTACAAACATGGAATATATTTTCGTTTATTTTTATCTTCTTGAATTTCTCTTATTAATGTATCATAGTTTCAGTGTGTAGATGTTTTGCTTCCTTGGTTAAATTCATTCCTAAATACTTTATTCTTAATGCTATTATATGATTTCTTCTTCAGATAGGTTGCTATTTGAAATGTATATAGACATGCAGTTGACTTTTTTCAGTGTATTTTGTATGCTGTAACTTTACTGAATCCATACGTTAGTGCTTGTATGGAATCTTTAGAATTTCCTACATGTGGATTCATGTCAGTTGCGAGGAGAAGTAATTTTACCTCCTCCTTTCCGACTGCTGTGCCTGCAGCTTCTTTCTCTCATCAGGTTGCTCTTGCCGGTATTTCCAGCACTGCGCAGGAACCACAAGAGCATGCTTCATCCTGGTGGACCCCAGTCCTAGAGCAAAATATTTCTATTTTCTCTCATTGCTTATATTAGCAGTGAGTCTTTCAGAAGTGGACTTTATCATGTTGAGGAAGTTAGCTTCTGTTTTGTTGAAAGTTTTTATTTTTACCATGAAGTGATGTTGATCTTTGTCAAATGCATTTTGATATCTATTGAGATGATCTTCAATTCTTTTAATATGGTGTATCAAATTGATTATTTTCAGTATGTTACACTAGCCTTGCATCCGTGGGATAACTCCCATTTTGTAACAATATATAATATTTTTGATGATGAATTAGTTTGCCAATATTTTATTCCTCAGTATTTTTTTAAAGATTTATTTTATTTATTTGAAAGAGTTTCAGAGAGAGGTAGTAAGAAAGAGGTTTTCCATCTACTGGTTCACTCCCCAGATGGCCACAACAGCCAGAGCTGCGCCTATCTGAAGCCAGGAGCCAGGAGCTTCTTCCTGGTCTCCCACATGGGTGCAGGGGCCCAAGGACTTAAGCCATCTTCTACTGCTATCCAAGGCCACAACAGAGAGCTGGAATGAAAGAGGAGCAGCTGGGACTAGAACCAGCGCCCATATGGGATGCCGGCACTTCAGGCCAGGGCTTTAACCCGCTGCACTACAGCGCCACACCTCCCCCCCGCCCCACCCCACCCCGTCAGTATTTTTTGCTTCTGTAGTCATTAGACATATTGGCCTGTAGTTTTATTTTCTTGTGATGTCTTTATTTGGCTCTCATCTCAGACTGATGCTAGCCTCATAGACAGAGTTTGGAGATAATCCCTCATATTTTTGGAAAAGTTTAACAAGGATTGGTGTTAATTTTTTCTAGTCAGGTAGAATTCATGCTGAAGCCATCTGGTCCTAGGCTTATCATTGTTGAGAAGTTTTTGATTACTGCTGTGATCTCTTTATTTGTTATTAGTCTGTTCTGGCTTCTATTTTTTTTCATATCAATTAGACAATTTTTACTAAATGAGAAAGTACATTTAAAATGTGTTTTAAAAAATAGAATTAGAAGCCGGCGCTGTAGCTCAATAGGCTAATCCTCTGCCTGCGGCGCCGGCACACTGGGTTCAAGTCCCAGTTGGGGCACTGGATTCTGTCCAGGTTGCCCCTCTTCCAGTCCAGCTCTCTGCTCTGGCCTGGGAGTGCAATGGAGGATGGCCCAAGTCCTTGGGCCCTGCACCCCATGGGAGACCAGGCTCCTGGCTTCGGATCAGTGCAGTGCACCGGCCACAGCGGCCATTGTTGGGTTAATCAACGGTAAAGGAAGACCTTTCTCCCTGTCTCTCTCTCACTGTCCACTCTGCCTGTCAAAAAAAAGAAAAATAGAATTAGAAAAAAAAGACATATGCAGTTTAAGGAACCTTTGCACTGTGCCGAAAATCAAACATTTCTTGCAGTAATACAGTGGGCCAACTCATAAACTGTAAGTTAGCAGAATTCTCAATTTAACATTTTCGAGGACAATATTAAGGTCAAGAATTTCACATCTATGGTAGCACATATAGAAGGGCATTATAAATGTGATGTCCATCCCTACGAAGCTTACAAATTTGACAATGCTCAATAAAACCACATCCAATAGTTTTGCATCCAAACAATCACATTTCTATTTCTTTTGATTCAGTCTTGGCAGGTTGTAATTTTATAGAAATTTAATCACTGGGGCCAGTTTTGTGGTGTAGTGGGCAAGTCTACCTGTGATGCCAGCATCCCACATGGGCTCTGGTTCATGTCCTGGCCACTCCACTCTGATCCAGCTCCCTGCTAATGGCCTGGGGAAAGCAGTGGAAAATGGCCCAAGTGTTTGGCCCCTGCTACCCATGTGGGAAACCTGGATGAAGCTCCTGGCTCCTGACTTCAGCCTGGCCCAGAGCTGCTGTTGCAGCCATCTTGGGGTGTGAACCAGATGATGGAAGATCTCTTATTCTCTCTCTCCCCCTTTTTCTCTGTAACTCTTTCAAAATAAATAAAATAAATCTTTTTTAAAAATATATTCATTATTTTTATGTTATCCAGTCTTTTGCCATATAATTGTTTATAATAGTCCCGTATGAACCTTTCCACTTCTGAAGCAAGCTTTTCAATGTCTCTTCTTTCATTTTTTATTTTATTTAAGTCTTTTTACTTTTTTATTTGTTTGTGTGGCTAAGGACCTATATTCTCAAAACTCAACTCCATGTGTGCTAATTATTTTCCTATTTTTTTCTGTTCTCTCTTTATTTATGTTGACATTTTATTTCCTGCCTTCCACTGGATTTAGTTTTTTCTTCTTCTAGTTCCCTGAGGTGTAAACTTAGGTTGCTTATTTGAGATCTTTATTTCAATATAGGCGTCCCATACGTTTTGGTAGTATTTATTTTTTATTTCATCCAGTGAGAGATTTTTTTCAATTCCATTTTGATCACCTCTTTTACCTAGTGGCTGCTCATGTACAAATTAGTTTACATATGTTTGTGAATTTCTTGCTCTTATTGGTTTCCAGTTTCATTTCATTGTGGTCAGAAGAGAAACTTGGAATGACATTAATCTTCTTAAATTATTTTATGATCTAGCACATGATCTGTGCTGGAGAATGTTCTGTGTGTACTTGAGAAGAATGTGTAAAGAATTATACTGGTGAAAATTTGCATTATATTTAAGTCTATTAGGTATACGATGTTGTCCAAGTCCATTATTTATTGATTTTTCAATCTGGATTTTCTGTTATTTAAAGTGAGCTGTTGAAGTATTCTATTATTGTATTGCTATCAATTTCTTCAGTAAAGTATATCAATAATTGTCTTATATACTTGGGTGCTCTGAGGTTGGATATTATATATATATATATTATGTATCATTGTTATATATCATGTTGTAAAAATGTAATAGAAGGATCTTTGTCTCTGGAGACAGTTTTTGATTTAAAATCTATTTTGTCTGACATTGGTA